CCTTTATTTTTTTCGGGCTTTTTTTTCACTTTTTCTCCCTGCTTTCTCACCCCTCACTGCCATTATTTTAATTTTTTAATTTTACCTTTATTTTTTTCTCTTTTTTTTTCACTTTTTCTCCCTGTTTTCTCACCCCTCACTGCCGTTATTTCTGATTTTTTCTCATTTCCTGCAGGGTGGTGCCTCGAGGAGCACCGTGAGTGTTCTCCCCTCCCTCCCTCCCCACCTCTGCTCCTTTCCAGGATTTTTTATTAATTTTATCATTTTAGAGAAAGACGAGGAACAAGTGGGTGAGTCCCTGTGGGAAAGGCGCATGGAGAGGGGCAGAAATTGGCACTTTTCACCCTTTTTATCCCCTTTTCCCCTCTTTTTCCCCCATTTCCCTCTCCTTTTCCTGTCATTTCTGCTCCCTTTTTTCTCCCCTCCTTTCCCTTTTTTCTCCTCTTTTTTCCCCTTTCCCTTCTCCCCCTTTCCCCATTTCCCCCCCTTTTTTCCTCCCCATTTTCCCCCATTTCTCTCCCCCATTTTCCCCCATTTCTCCCCAATTTTCCCCCAAATTTCCTCCTCATATTTTCCCCATGTCCCCCCTATTTCCCCCCATTTTTCCCCCATTTCCCCCCATTTTCCCCATTTTTCTCCTATTCCCTCCCCAATTCCCCCCCATTTTTGCCCCATATTTCCCCATTTCCTCCCCAATTTCCCCTCCATTTCCCCCCCATTTCCCCCTATCCCCCCTCTATTTCCCCCCCATTATTTTCCCCTCATTTCCCCCCTATTTCCCCCATTTTCCCCTTCATTTTCTCTCCTATTTCCCCTCTCCATTTTCCCTATTCCCCCCCATTCCTGCCCCATTTCCGCCCTCTTTTCCCCCATTTTCCCCCGTTTATTTTCCCCACCATTCCCCCATTATTTCCCCCCCATTATTTTTCCTCCTCCATTTTCCCTATTTCCCCCCATTCCTGCCCCATTTCCGCCCTCTTTTCCCCCATTTCCCCCTGTTTATTTTCCCCCACCATTCCCCCCATTTTCCCGTTTATTTTCCCCCACCATTCCCCCCATTTCCCCCCCCATTATTTCCCCTCCATTATTTCCCCCCCATTTCCCCCCATTATTTCCCCCCATTTTCCCCTTCATTTTCCCTCCTTTCCCCCCCCTCCATTTTCCGTATTTTGCCCCCCATTTCCACCCTCTTTTCCCCCATCTTCCCCCGTTTATTTTCCCCCACCATTCCCCCCATTTTCCCGTTTATTTTCCCCCCCATTCCCCCCATTTTTCCCCCCATTTCCCCCATTATTTCCCCCCATTTTCCCCTTCATTTTTCCCCCTATTTCCCCCCATTTTCCCCCGTTTATTTCCCCCACCATTCCCCCGTTTATTTCCCCCCCATTATTTCCCCCCCATTATTTCCCCCCCATTATTTCCCCCTCCATTTTCCCTATTTCCCCCCCCATTTCCACCCTCTTTTCCCCCATATCCCCTCCATATTTCCCCCCCATTATTTCCCCCCATTATTTCCCCCCCATTATTTCCCCCCCATTATTTCCCCCTCAAACCCCCCCAGCCCCGGTCACCCTGGACCCCCTCACGTCCCACCCTCGCCTCGTCCTCTCCCCGGACTCGCTCTCCGCCCGCTGGGCCTACGGCGGCCCCGAGCCCGAGCCAGGCCCCGACCGCTTCTCGTGCTCGCCGTGCGCCCTCGGCCTGCCCGGCTTCACCCGCGGCCGCCACACCTGGACCGTGGCCGTGGCCGGGGGTCCCTTCTGCGCCGCGGGCGTCAGCCGGGCCTCGGTGCCGCGCCAGGGCCCGGCCTTCGGGCCCGAGCGCGGGGTCTGGGCCCTGCAGCGCTGGGGCGGCCTGTGCCGGGCGCTGACCGAGCCGCCCACGCCGCTGCCCGGCCGCTGCCCGCGCCGCCTGCGCGTGGCCCTGGACTACGAGGGCGGCCGCGTGGCCTTCTTCGATGGCGACCGGCCCGGCCCGGCCCGGCCGCTCTTCGCCTTCCCCGCCGCGGCCTTCGGAGGGGAGGAGGTGAGGCCCTGGTTCTGGGTGGAGCTGGGGGAGATCTCCATCGAACAGTGATCCTGAAAAAATACCTCCATGGAGAGAATGAAACCATGTCCAGCCCTGGTTCTGGGTGGAGCTGGGGGAGATCTCCATTGTTCAGTGATCCCGAAAATACCTCCATGGAGAGCATGAAACCATGTCCAGCCCTGGTTCTGGGTGGAGATCTCCATTGTTCAGTGATCCCGAAAAAATACCCCCATGGAGAGCATCAGGCCCTGGTTCTGGGTGGAGCTGGGGGAGATCTCCATTGTCCAGTGATCCTGAAAATGCCTCCATGGAGAGCATCAGGCCCTGGTTCTGGGTGGAGCTGGGGGAGATTTCCATTGTCCAGTGATCCCGAAAATACCTCCATGGAGAGCATGAAACCATGTCCAGCCCTGGTTCTGGGTGGAGCTGGGGGAGATTTCCATTGTCCAGTGATCCCGAAAAAATCTCCATGGAGAGCATGAAACCATGTCCAGCCCTGGTTCTGGGTGGAGATCTCCATTGTTCAGTGATCCCGAAAAAATACCTCCATGGAGAACATCAGGCCCTGGTTCTGGGTGGAGCTGGGGGAGATTTCCATCGTCCAGTGATCCCAAAAAAATCTCCATGGAGACCCCCTCCCAGGAGACCGTGGCTGGCCCTGGTTCTGGTCCTGGCTCTGGTCCTGGTGTTGGTTCTGGTCCTGGTTCTGGATCTTGTCCTGGATCTGGTTCTGGTTCTGGATCTTGTCCTGGATCTGGTTCTGGTCCTGGTTCTGGGGGAGCTGGACTCCCCCTCCCACATGCAGTGACCCTGAAATTCAAGGGATTCTGCCCAGAAATGGAGAGAGAGCTCAGGGGGCTGGAGGGGACCCCGACCTCCAGCTGGACATGGGGACACTGGGACATGGGGACACTGGAAATGGGGACACTGGGACATGGGGACACCAGGACATCGGGTGTCCCCTGTCCCCCTGGGGTGACCCCGACATCCCCCCCCGGTAATAAACCCTGCAAAACCGGAGCGTTTTAGCTTCCTTTTCCCGGCTGTTTTGAGGTAAAACCGCGGGGATTTAAATCCTCGGATCCATCGAGGGGTCTGAGGGGAACGGGACCCCCCCTCCAGGGGCAGGGACGCCCGCCCCGGGGCGCTGGAATGGGGCGGATTCCCGTAATTCCGTTAATTCCGTTAATTGATTCCGTTAATTGATTCCGTTAATTGATTCCTGCTCATAACATCCCAAATCACGGGGGTCGGGGGCAGCCGAGCAGCACGGGGGAGACCCTCCCCCTCTGCCACCCCTCCCCCGGTTGATAAATTTGCGGGATTTCCCCGATTTTTGGGGGTTTTCCCCCCGATTTTTGGGGTTTTTCCCCGATTTTTGGGATTTCCCCCGATTTTTGGGGGTTTTTGCCCGATTTTTGGGGGGGTTTTCCCCGATTTTTGGGGTTTTCCCCGATTTTGGGGTTTTCCCCGATTTTGGGGTTTTCCCCCGATTTTTGGAGGATTTTCCCCGATTTTTGGGGTTTTTTCCCGATTTTGGGTTTTTTCCCGATTTTTTTGGGTTTTCCCCGATTTTGGGGGGTTTTTGCCCGATTTTTGGGGGGTTTTTGCCCGATTTTTGGGGTTTTTCTCCGATTTTTTGGGATTTTCTCCCGATTTTTGGGGTTTTCCCCGATACACGGGGTTTCCCCAGGGGTAGCGTGGCCGAGCGGTCCAAGGCGCTGGATTAAGGCTCCAGTCCCTGCGGGGGCGTGGGTTCGAATCCCACCGCTGCCAGCCCAATTTTGGGCACATCCGGAGGAGCCTCCCCCCGCTCATTTTTGGGGTTAATCCCGGGGAAAACGGGGCTCGGCATTACCAAAATGTGAGAATTTCATCCCAGTTCCACCCTCCTCACCCTGGAGACCCTGGGGAAGGGGAGCCCCCTCCCCATGGGGGTCCCACATTCCCACCCCAACCCCGAGCCATCAAACCATGACCCCCGCTCTCCTAAAATCCCAATTCCGCTTTATTTCACCTCATTTTGGAGCAGGGGGAATTGGGGAAGGAAACGCGGGTTTGGGACAATCCATAAAAACGCGATCCAGATGGAGAAACCCCCGAGGGGAACAGAGACCCCCACAGCTCCAGCACCTCCACTGCGGATATCGGAATATTTTTGGTGGTGAAAAGCTAAAAAAAAACCATTTTTAGCTTCTAAAATCTTGGGTGTACAGGAGCATCTTCAGCCCTGAGATGGGCACTCAAAATTCATCCATCAGTCCCTGAGGTGGGCACCCAAAATTTGTCCATAAATCCTTAGGGTGGGCACCCAAAATTCCATTCATCGATCCTTGAGATGGGCACCCAAAAATTGTCCATAAATCCATGAGGTGGGCACCCAAAATTTGGTCCATAAATCCATGAGGCGGGCACCCAAAATTCCATTCGTCAATCCCTGAGGTGGGCACCCAAAATTTCATTCATCAATCCCTGAGGTGGGCACCCAAAATTTTGTCCATAAATCCCTGAGGTGGGCACCCAAAATTTTCCATAAATCCATGAGGTGGGCACCCAAAATTTTCCATAAATCCATGAGGTGGGCACCCAAAATTTTCCATAAATCCTTAGGGTGGGCACCCAAAATTTTCCATCAATCCCTGAGGCTCAGCACCCAAATCCCCCCGATTTTAGGGCTCAGCACCCAAATCCCCCCAATCCCAAGGCTCAGCACCCAAATCCCTCCAGTCCTGAGGCTCAGCACCCAAATTCCCAAGGCTCAGCACCCAAATCTCACCGACCCCCGGGGCTCAGCACCCAAATCCCCCCAGTCCTGAGGCTCAGCACCCAAATCCCCGGGGCTGAGCACCCAAATCCCCCCAATCCTGAGGCTCAGCACCCAAATCCCCGGGGCTCAGCACCCAAATCCCCCCAATCCCCGGGTCTCAGCGCCCAAACCCGCGTCGGGCCCGGCCCCGCGCTCTCTCTCGGGCTCAGGGCGGCGGCTCCCGGCGCAGGTGAGTGCGCAGGTGCTTCATGAGCGACGAGCGGGACACGAAGCTCTTGGGGCAGCCCGAGCAGGGGTACGGGCGCTCCCCGGTGTGCGTGCGCCGGTGGATGACGAGGCTGGAGCTGGCTCGGAAGCTCTTCCCGCACTCGCTGCAGCCGAACGGTTTCTCGCCGGTGTGGACGCGCCAGTGGCGCCGCAGCGCGGCCCCGTCCCGGAACGCCTTCCCGCACTGCTCGCAGGCCGGGCGGCGCCGCCGCGGGACCGCCGGGACCGCCGAGGGGCCGAGCCCGAGGGGCTGGAGAGGAACCGGGACCCCCGAGGGGCTGAGCCCGAGGGGCTGGAGAGGAACCGGGACCGCCGAGGGGCCGAGCCCGAGGGGCTGCGAGAGCCCCGGGACCCCCGAGGGGCCGAGCCCGAGGGGCTGGAGAGGAACCGGGACCCCCGAGGGGCCGAGCCCGAGGGGCTGAGACAGCACCGGGACCCCCGAGGGGCTGAGCCCGAGGGGCTGCGAGAGCCCCGGGACCCCCGAGGGGCTGAGCCCGAGGGGCTGCGAGAGCCCCGGGACCCCCGGGACCCCCGAGGCGCTGTCCCGGAGGGGCTTCAGGGACACCGGGACCCCCGAGGCGCCGTCGCTGAGGGGCTCAGGGACCCCCGAGGGGCTGTCCCAGAGCAGCCGAGGGGGCACCGGGACCCCCGCCCCACACTCGGCGCTGTCCCCACGGCTCCGTGGGGACACCGGGCCCCGCTCGGGGCTGCTCCTGAGCGGCCAAGGGGGCGCCGGGACCCTCGCGGCGCCCTCGGGGCTGTCCCGGAGGGGCTGCGGGGCCCCCGCCCCACACCCGGCGCTGCCCCCGTGCAGCCACAGGGACGCGGGGACCCCCTCGGGGCTGTCCCTGAGCGGCCAAGGGGGCGCCGGGACCCCCGCCCCGCGCTCGGGGCTGTGCCCGAGCAGCCGCGGGAGCCGCTCGGGGCTGTCCCCGCCGCCGATCCAGCGCCGGTGCGGGCAGCGCGCGTTCCCCGCCCCCGCACTCCGGGCACGGCGCCGCCGCCGCCTTCGCCGCGGCCCGGTGGATTTTGCGGTGCTTGCTGAGCGATTTGACGGCCGCGAAGGCCTTGCCGCAGTCGGGGCACTCGTAGGGGCGCTCCCCGGTGTGGATGCGCTGGTGCGCCACCAGCGCGGCGTGCGACGAGAGGCTCCGGCCGCACTCGGAGCAGATGAAGCCGCCGGAGTGCCGCGCCCGCCGGTGCTTGCCCCAGCGACTTGGCGGCCATGAAGCCCATGCCGCACTCGGGGGCAGGCGAACGGGCGCTCGCCGGTGTGGATGCGGCGGTGCGTGACCAGCGAGGCCTCGGACGTGAGCGTCTTGCCGCAGTCCGGGCAGCGCGGGGCCCCGTCCAGGTGCGTCCTGCGGTGCTTGCGCAGCGAGCGCGCCGAGGCGAAGCGCTTGGGGGCAGGAGCGGCAGCGGTGCGGGCGGCGCTGGCAGCCGGGCGTGCCCAGGTGCTCCCGCAGCGCCGCCCCGCACGGGAACGGAGCGCGGCAGCGCCAGCAGCTGAAGCTGAGGCCGGGCGCGCCCCCGTGCGCGGAGCGCAGGTGGCGGCGCAGGGAGGAGCCCGAGGTGAAGGATTTGCCGCACTGGGGGCACGCGGGGCGCGGCGCGGCCGGGGACGGGAGCGGGGGACGGGGAGCGGGGATGGGGATGGGGATGGGAACGGGGAGGGGAACGGGGAGGGGGGCGCGGGAGGAGGGGGAGGGCAAAGGGGGCGGCGGGGAGGGGGCGTCTGTGGGGGACATGGGGGAGAAAAGGGGGAAAGAATGGGGAGAGAATGGGAGGAAAAGGGGAAAAATGGGGGGAGAAAAGGGGGAGAAAAAGGGGGGAAAGAATGGGGAGAGAATGGGAGGAAAAGGGGAAAATGGGGAAACGGGGGGGGAATGGGGAAATGGGGGGAGAAAAGGGGGGAAAGAATGGGGAAAGGATTGGAGGAAAAGGGGAAAAATGGGGGGAATGGGGGGAGAAAAAGGGGGAAATAATGGGGAAAGAATTGGAGGAAAAGGGGAAAAAAATGGGGGGGAATGGGGAAATGGGGGAAATGGAGGAAATTGGAGGGAATGGGGGGAGGAAAGGGGGGGAAATAATGGGGAAAGAATGGGAGGAAAAAGGGAAAATGGGGAAAAAATTGAGGGAATGGGGGGAGGAAATAATGGGGAAAGAATTGGAGGAAAAGGGGAAAAAATGGGGAAAAATTGAGGGAATGGGGGGAGGAAAGAATGGGGAAAGAATTGGAGGAAAAGGGGAAAAATGGGGGGGAATGGGGGGAGAAAAGGGGGGAAAGAATGGGGAGAGAATGGGAGGAAAAGGGGAAAAATGGGGAAAAATTGAGGGAATGGGGAAATGGGGGGAGAAAAGGGGGGAAAGAATGGGGAGAGAATGGGAGGAAAAGGGGGAAAAAAATGGGAAGAAAAGGGGGAAAAAATGGGAGGAAAAGGGGTGTTTGGTGATCGCCGTGAATGGGAGTTGATACAGCCCAAAAAGGGCAAAATCACCCCAAAAAGGGCGGAATCACCCCAAAAAGGGCGGAATCACCCCAGAAAGGACAGAATCACCCCAAAAAGGAGCTGCCTTCACCCCCTAATCCATGACCCTCCCAGTATAAACCAGTAACCCCAAATCCCCCTTTAACCCTTTCCCAGTCCCTCCCAGTTTGATCCCAGTCCCCCCCCAGTTCAATCCCAGTCCTCCCAGTCCCCCCAGTTCGATCCCAGTTCGTTCCCAGTTCGATCCCAGTCCCTCCCAGTCCCCCCAGCTTTGATCCCAGTCCCCCTAGTTCGATCCCAGTCGCTCCCACTTCCTCCCAGTTTGATCCCAATTTGATCCCAGTCCCTCCCAGTCCCCCCCAGTCCCTCCCAGTTCAATCCCAGTTCAATCCCAGTTCAATCCCAGTCCCCCCAGTTCAATCCCAGTTCAATCCCAGTCTCTCCAGTTCAATCCCAGTTCATTCCCAGTTCGATCCCAGTTCAATCCCAGTCCCTCCCAGTTCCTCCCAGTTCCTCCCAGTTTGATCCCAGTCCCTCCCAGTTCCTCCCAGTTCGATCCCAGTTTGATCCCTGTCCCCTCAGTCCCTCCCAGTCCCCCCAGTTCGATCCCAGTCCCCCCAGTTCAATCCCAGTCCGATCCCAGTTCAATCCCAGTTCAATCCCAGTCCAATCCCAGTTCAATCCCAGTCCAATCCAGTTCGATCCCAGTCCCCCCAGTTCAATCCCAGTCCAATCCCAGTTCAATCCCAGTTTGATCCCAGTTCAATCCCAGTCCCTCCCAGTGCCCCCCAGTTTGATCCCAGTCCCCCCAGTTTGATCCCAGTTCGATCCCAGTCCCTCCCAGTTTGTTCCCAGTTCAATCCCAGTTTGATCCCAGTTCCTCCCAGTCCCTCCCAGTCCGGTCCCCGTCTCTCACCCGAGGAGCCCCCCCAGCTCCCCCAGAGCCTCAGGAGGGGCCGCGCCCGCTCTTCCTCCTCCTCCTCCTCCTCCTCCTCCTCCCGGTCCTGGCCCGGCCCCGCCCAGACCCAGCCCGGGGCGCCTGGGGGAGGGGGACGGGGGGGGGGTCAGTGGGAAACCCGGGGGGTTTGGGGAGAATTCCGGGGATTTTGGGAAAATTCGGGGGATTTGGGGGAAATTCGGGGGAATTCGGGGGATTTTGGGGGGAGTTCGGGGGAGTTTGGGAAAATTCGGGGGAGTTTGGGGGAATTCGGGGGATTTTGGGGGGAATCTGGGGGATTTTGGGGAGAATTCGGGGGATTTTGGGAGAATTGGGGGATTTTGGGAGAATTCGGGGGATTTGGGGAGAATTCGGGGGAGTTTGGGGAGAATTCGGGGGATTTTGGAAAATTCGGGGGATTTGGGGGGAATTCGGGGGAGTTTGGGGGAATTCGGGGGAATTGGGGGGAATCTGGGGGATTTGGGGGGAATCTGGGGGATTTGGGGGGAATTCGGGGGAGTTTGGGGAGAATTCGGGGGATTTTGGGGGTTATTTTGGAGGGTATTTTGGAGAGGATTTCGGGGAAATTTCGGGGGTTTTTTGGGCTGATTTCGGGGGTATTTTGGAGGGGATTTTGGAGAGGATTTAGGGGGTAATTCGGGGGATTTTGGGCTGATTTCGGGGGGGTTTTGGAGAGGATTTGGGGGGGATTTCGGGGAGATTTTGGGCTGATTTCGGGCGCATTTTGGGGTTATTTTGGAGGGATTTTTGGGGAGGATTTGGGCGGATTTCGGGCTGATTTCGGGGGGATTTTGGAGGAGATTTTGGAGAGGATTTGGGGGGGATTTCGGGGGGATTTTGGGCTGATTTCGGGCGCATTTTTGGGGGATTTTGGGCTGATTTCGGGCGCATTTTGGGGGTATTTTGGAGGGGATTTTGAAGAGGATTTGGGGGGGGATTTTGGGCGGATTTTGGGCTGATTTGGGGCTGATTTCGGGCGCATTTTGGGGATATTTTGGAGGGATTTTTGGAGAGGATTTGGGGGGGATTTCGGGCTGATTTGGGGCTGATTTCGGGCGGATTTCGGGGGGATTTTGAAGAGGATTTGGGGGGATTTCGGGCGGATTTTGGGCTGATTTGGGGCTGATTTCGGGCGGATTTCGGGGGCATTTTGGAGGGGATTTTGAAGAGGATTTTAGGGGGATTTCGGGCGGATTTTGGGGGGCATTTTCGAGGGGATTTTAGAGAGGATTTGGGGGGATTTCGGGCGGATTTTGGGCTGATTTGGGGCTGATTTGGGGCCGCTACCTTCGGGCGGTGCCCGGGGGGGTTTCGGAGCCCACCGTGACCTCCTGCAGCACCTCGGGCACCTGAGCGGGGCGGGGCCGGCGGGAAAAGGCGCAAACGACCCAAAATTGCCGAAAATGAATAAAAATGAACAGCGGAAAAGCGTCCGAAGGAACGGAATGGGAGAGGGAATAAAAGAAAATAAAACAAAGAGCGCGGGGAGGAAGAAACGGGGGGAGATAAAATCCGGAAATTCAGCGCTCGGCACAAAATGAAATTTAAAAATGAAACCCGGACCGAAATAAAATGAAAAACCCGATGAAATTAAAATAAAGGAAACAGTACAAAATAAAATGCATTTAAAGTAAATAAGATAAAATGAAATGAACTAAAGATAAAATTTAGTAAAGTTAGAGGAGATAAAATAATACAAAATAAAATACAGTTTAATTAAACAAGATAAAATGAAATTAAATAAAGATAAAAAGAAATGAAATAGAGATAAAATAAAACAAAGTAAGACGAGATAAACGAATTTGAAAATAGAATTTTAAAAAATTTTAAAAAATTAGATCCAAATGCAATTAAAGTAAAACGAATTAAAACACAAGACAAAATAAGAGTAAAATAAAATAAGGTTATAAAATAACCCTATAAAAATAAAAATAAAATAAAACAAATTCAGACGAAACGCAAGGAAATGAAATGAAATAAAAAAAAAAAAGAAAATAAAATTAAATAAAATTAAATAAATCAAACGGAGAAGTGAAGTTTTTAAAACGAACTTTTAAAACTCGAATTAAGAGACAAAAAAAACCAAAAACGGGGGAAAATCTTATTTTAAAAACGAAAAATAATTAAATAAAAATTAAAAAAATAAAATTTAAAACTGGGAATTTCCAGCCCTACCTGCGGCTCGGCCATGGCGGGGGGGAGGGGGCGAATCTGGGGGTCCCGGGGGGGTCCCCGGGGGGGTCCCGGGGGCTCCGGGAGCGGCTCGGGAGCGGCGGCGCCCGGGGAGAGGAGGGGGCGGCGCGGGGAGGGCGGTGACGTCACGGTGACGTCACGGCCCCGCTGGGACCCCCCCCGGGGGAGGGGGGGAATGGGGGGGGAGGGGTCTGGAGGGAAAATCGCGGGGATGTGGTGGGAATGTCGGGGGATATCGGGGGGATATCGGGGGATATCGGGGGGATATTGGGGGGGATATTGGGGATATCGGGGGGATATTGGGATATCGGGGGGATATTGGGGGGATATTGGGGATATCGGGGGGATATCGTGGGATATCGGGGGGATATCGTGGGATATCGGGGGGATATTGTGGGGATATTGTAGGAATGTCGTGGGATATCGTGGAAAGTCGTGGGAATGTCGTGGGATATCGTGGGATAACGGGGGGATGTCGGGGATATCGGGGGATATCGGGGGGATATCGTGGGAATGTCGTGGGGTATCGTGGGGATGTCGTGGGGATATCGTGGGGATATCGTGGGGATATTGTGGGAATGTCGTGGGAATGTCGTGGGAATGTCGGGGGATATCGTGGGAATGTCGTGGGATGTCATGGGTTAAAAAGGGGGAATTGGGTTAAAAAGGGGGAATTGGGTTAAACACAGGGAATTTGGGTAAAAAAGGGGGAAAATTGGGTCAAACCCGGGGAATTCGGCGTTAAACCGGGGAAATTGGGAACTGGGGTTAAAAGCGGGGGAATTTTGGTATAAAAGGTGGAATTTTGGGTTAAACCCGTGGAATTTGGGGTTAAAAAGGGGGAATTTTGGGTTAAACCCGTGGAATTTGGGGTTAAAACCGGGGATGTTCGGTTAAAATCAGGGAAATTTGGGGTTAAAAAGGGGAAATTTGGGTTAAACCCGGGGAATGCCGCCGCTCCCCTCCCCCTGCAGGTGCCGCGGGGCCTGGCGCGATGGACGGAGCATCAGTCGCGATGAACGGACCATCGTCAGTCGCGATAAACCATCATCAATCGCGATAAACCATCAGTAACGATGGACCATCGTCAGTCGCGATAAGCCATCAGTAACGATGGACCATCATCAATCGCGATATAGCCATCAGTAACGATGGACCATCATCAGTCGCGATAACCATCAGTAACGATGGACCATCATCAGTCGCGATAAGCCATCATCAGTCGCGATGAGCCATCAGCCGCTCCGATGGGCCATCGAGCGGGGCGGGACCGCCCCAGGAAAAATTCCCTTTTTTCCCCTTTTTTCCATTTTTTTCCTTTTTTTTTCCCCCTTTTTCCCGGAGAAATTCCCGCCCGAGCCACCAAAAACCCCAAATCGGGAGATTTGTCCCCATTTCCAGCCGATTTCCCCCAATTTCCCCCAGATAAAAATGGAAATTTTTAATTTTTTAATAATTCCCGGGAGTTTGGGTCCATCCCGCTGAGAAAAGGGGGAGAAAACCCCGAAAATCCCGGATATCTGTATTCTTAAAATTTCATTTAACTTTTTCCAGCTCGTTTTTCATTTCGTTTCCCGTGCAGCTTCCGTTTAATTTCAATTCTTTCTTATCTAATTATTATTTAATTATTTCCTTTTTTTTTTTTTTTATTCGGGGTATGTATTTTTTTAACTTTTATTCAACTTTTTCCACCTCGTTCTTAATTTAGATTCCCGCGCAATTTCCGTTTAATTTTAATTCTTTCTTAACTAATTATTATTTAATTATTTCTCATGTTTTTTTATTTTTTATTCGGGTCTACTTCTTATTTTTAATTTTTTTTTTATTTTGACTTTTCCAGCTCGCTTTTAATTCCCATTCCTGCGTAATTCTATTTAATTTTAATTTCTTCTAATAAATTTCCTAATGAAACGGAGAATAATAAAAAGAATTAAATAGATAATTAAAAAGAATTAAATAGAATAATTAAATAGATAAATAGAATAATTAAATAGATAAATAGATTAATTAAAATAGATAAATGCGATTAATTAAATAGATAAATAGATTAATTAAACAGAATTCCGGTTCATTTTTAACTCTTTCCATCCCGGACCCCTCACCGCCGCCTCCCCCCACCCCAAAAAGCTCCAAAAAGCCCCAAAATCGCTCAAAAATCGCTCAAAACCCGGAGGCGGCTCCAAGGGGGAGGGGTTTATTCAGCGGGGCGGGGATTTTGGGGAGATTTTGGTCCATTTTGGTCCATTTTGGTTCATTTTGGTCCATTTTGGGTCATTTCGGGTCTCTCAGTCCTCCTTGCCCGGGACCACCGAGCTCCTCTCGGCCGCGGGGGGGGGATGGGTTCCTGTGGGGGGGGAGGGGTTCAGCGGTGACCTTTGACCTCAGACACCCCTCCCCCCATGTCCCCAAGGTCCCCCCCCCCCCCTCGGTGCCCTCTTGGTGTCCGTCCCCCCCCCCCCCCTTTGTCATTGTCCCCTCCCCTGGATGTGTCCCCGCCCCCCCCCCAAATTGTCCCTCCCCGTGTCCCCCATGTCCCCCCCCGGTGTCCCCTGCCCTGTCACTGTCCCCCCCTCCCGTCCCCCCCCCCCCCCCCGTGTCCTTGTCCCCCATTGTCCCCATTGTCCCCATTGTCCCCATTGTCCCCCCTCACCTCGGTGTCCCCCCAGGAGCCCCTTGAGGACGCCCCAGCCCCAGCGCAGGAGGTTCAGCAGGCACTGCAGTCCGGCACACATCCCTGGGGACATCAGGGGACATCAGGGGACATGGGGGACACTGAGGGGACATGGGGGACACACAGGGGACAGACAGACCCGACCCCACCCTGTCCCCATGGCCCTGTCCCATTCCTGTCCCCGTCCCCGTGTCCCTGTCCCCACATCCCTCAGGATGTCCCCACATCCTGTCCCCGTGTCCCCATGTCCCCGTGTCCCTGTCCCTGTCTCTGTCCCCACATCCTGTCCCTGTGTCCCCATCCCCACATCCTGTCCCCAGGTCCCCACCCTGTTCCTGTGTCCCTGCCCCGGCCTTTACAATGTCCCTCACCTGTCCCCATCCTGTCCCTGTGTCCCCATCCTGTCCCCAGTGTCCCATCCCAATGTCCCCATCCTGTCCCTGTGTCCCCCATGTCCCCAACCCGTCCCCATCCTGTCCCTGTGTCCCCATGTCCCCTTGTCCCACTCACGGCCCCATCCCAATGTCCCCATCCTGTCCCTGTCCTGTCCCCATCCTGTCCCCATCCTGTCCCCATCCTGTCTCCAATGTCCCATCCCTGTCCCCATCCCTGTCCCTGATGTCCCCACTGTCCCCATCCCATCCTCACTGTCCTGTTGCTGTCCCCATCCCTGTCCCCATCCTGTCCCCATCCCTGTCCCCAATGTCCCCAGTCCCTGTCCCCATCCTGTCCCCATCCTATCTCATCCCCAGTGTCCCCAGTGTCCCCATCCTGTCCCATCCCTGTCCCCACTGTCCCCATCCCATCCCCATCCCATCCCATCCCATCCCATCCTGTCCCCAGTGTCCCCAGTGTCCCCATCCTGTCCCCAGTGTCCCCGATGTCCCCAATGTCCCCTCGCTGTCCCCAGTGTCCCCATCCTGTCCCCAGTGTCCCCCATGTCCCCAATGTCCCCTCGCTGTCCCCACTCACCGCCAGCTCTGTCGTCGGTGCCGCGGTGGCCCCGGGGCCGCCCTTAAATCCCCGCGGGAGGGGACAGGGAGGGGGACAGCACAGGACAGGACAGGTCACGGGCTGGTGACAGAGCGGTGACGGGGGCAGGTGACAGCGCAGGTGACAAGGGAGGTGGCAGAGGTGACGGGCTGGTGACAGGGCGGGGTGGCGGGGGCGGTGACAAGGGAGGTGACAGTGATGGCCCTGGGGCCGGTTCTGCCGGTCCCCACCTGGCCCGCGTGGGGACGGGGTGGCCTGGGAGGGGACACGGGGACAGGGGACACGTGGGGACAGGAGGGACATGGGGGGACATTGGGGACATGGGGGACACGGGGACAGGGGACACGTGGGGGACAGGGGGACAGGGGACACGTGGGGGGCAGGAGGGACATGGGGGGACATTGGGGACATGGGGGACATGGGACAAGGAGGGGACATTGGGGACAGGGGGACAGGGGACACGTGGGGGACAGGAGGGACATGGGGGGGACATTGGGGACATGGGGACAAGGAGGGGACATGAGGGGACATTGGGGACATGGGGACAAGGAGGGGACATTGGGGACAGGGGGGACAGGGGACACGTGGGGGACAGGAGGGACACGGGGGGGACATTGGGGACATGAGGGGACATTGGGGACAGGGGGACATGGGGGACATGGGGACAAGGAGGGGACATTGGGGACAAGGAGGGGACATTGGGGATATGGGGGACAGGGGACACGTGAGGGACAGGAGGGACATGGGGGGGACACGGGGGACATGGGGGACATATTGGGGACATGGGGACATGGGGGGGGGACATTGGGGACATGGGAATGCTGGGAGGGGACATGGCACCAGCACGGGGACATGGAAGGGACATGGAAGGGACATTGGGGACAAAGAGGGGACATTGGGGGACATGGGGATATTGGGGAGCACAAGGGGACATTGAGGGGGACATTGGGGACATGGGAACTTGAGGGGGGCTATGGGACATGGAGGGGACATCGGGGGGTTTACTGGGGACATGGAAGGGACATGAGGGGGACATGAGGACACTGGGTGGGACACTGGGGACAAGGGGACATGGAGGTGGCCTAGGAGGGGACATGGGCCCAGTATGGGGACAGGGGACACATGGGGGACAGGGGGACATGGGCATGCTGGGAGGGGACATGGGGGACACTGGGGGGTCACAGGTGTCACCGGAGTCACGTGGGTGTCCCCGTTGTCCCCCCCGTGTCCCTTCCCCGTCCCCGTGACCTTTGACCCGGCGCGGGGGCGGCTGATTTCATTTCCCGCCACCCCCGCTCGGTGGGCGGGGCCTGTCTGAGGGGATGTGGGCGTGGTCCGCGCTGAGTGGGCGGGGCTCTATGTGGGGCAGGGGGCGGTGCGGCAGGGGGCGTGTCCAGCGGGGATCCCGCTCGGGTGATTGGGCGGGGGGCGTGGCCCCGGTGGCGGAAGGGGGCGGGGCCTGCGCGGCGCGCTCGGGGGCCGCCATGGTGAGCGCGGGCCCGGGGGGGGGGGGGGGGGGCGTCCAGGGGGGATTTTGGGGATCCCGGGGGGGATTTGGGGACCCCTCTGAGACCTCCGGGACCCCCGGGCCCCTCCTCGGATCGGCCCGAGCCCCCCCGACCCCTGCGGACCCTCAAACCCCCCCTGTGCCCCCCAAATCCCCTCAAACCCTCCCAAATATCCCACCCAAATCCCCCCTGTGCCCCCCAAAACCCCATCTCTGACCCCCCCGTGCCCCCCTCCCCAGCTGTTCTACTCCTTCTTCAAGTCCCTGGTGGGCAAGGACGTGGTGGTGGAGCTCAAGAACGACCTCAGGTATGGGGGGGGGCCGGGACACCCCGGAACGGCCCCAAAACCCCCCAGGACCCCCCAAAAAACCCCCCCAGAAACTGCCCAGGAAAGGCCCCCAAAACCCCCCAGGACCCCCAAAAACCCCCCCAGAAACTGCCCGGGATCCCCCCAGAAACCCCCCCAAAAAACCCCCCCAGAAACTGCCCCGGAAAGGCCCCAAAACCCCCTCGGGATGCCCCCCCCCCAAAAAACTGCCCCGGTAACGCCTCCGGGAGCCCCAAATCCCCCTGGGAGCCCCAAAACCTCCCCTGGAACCCCTGAAACACCCCCAGATCCCCCCAGGACCCTCTTGGACCCCCCAAATCCCCCCCAGGACCCCCCAAATCCCCCCCAGATCCCCCCAAATCCTCCTGGGACCCTTGGGACCCCCCAAATCCCCCCCAGATCCCCCCAAATCCTCCTGGGACCCTCTGGGACCCCCCAAATCCTCCTCAAATCCTCTTGGGACCCCTAAATCCCCCCCAAATCCTCCTGGGACCCTTTGGGACCCCTCAATCCCCCCCAAATCCTCCTGGGACCCCAAATCCCCCCCAAATCCTCCTGGGACCCTCTGGGACCGCCCAAATCCCCCCTCAAATCCCCTTCAAATCCTCCTGGGACCCTCTGGGACCCCCCAAATCACCTTCAAATCCTCCTGGGACCCTCTGGGACCCCCAAATCTCCCCTAAATCCTGCTGGGACCCCCAAATCTCCCCCAAATCCCCCCAGGACCCTCTGGACCCCCAAATCCCCCCCAAATCCTGCTGGGACCCTCTGGGACCCCCAAATCCCCCCCAAATCCCCCCAGGACCCTCTGGGACCCCCAAATCCCCCCAGATCCCCCCAGGACCCTCTTGGACCCCCCAATCCCCCCCAGGACCCCCCAAATCCCCCCCAGATCCCCCAAATCCTCCTGGGACCCTTTGGACCCCCCAAATCCCCCCCAAATCCCCCCAGGACCCTCTGGGACCCCCAAATCTCCCCCAAATCCCCCCAGGACCCTCTGGGACCCCCAAATCTCCCCCAAATCCCCCCAAACCGCCCTTGTCTCCGCAGCATCTGCGGCACGCTGCACTCGGTGGATCAGGTGAGTCGGGGGTCTCTGGGGGTCTCTGGGGGTCTCTGGGGGTCCTCAGAGCCCCCCCTGACCCCCCCGTGCCCCCTCCCCAGTACCTGAACATCAAACTGACCGACATCAGCGTCACCGACCCCGAGAAGTACCCGCACATGGTGGGGGGGCACAGGGGGTTTGGGGGGGACTGGGGGGTCTGGGGGGCTCTGGGGGGGTCCTGGGGGCTCTCAGGGGTTCGGGGAGGGTCCTGGGGGGGTTTGGGGAGGGGGTCCTGGAGGGAGATGGGGGAGTTTGGGGGGGGTTTGGGTGCAGTTTGGGGGAGTTTTCGGGGGGGATTTGGGGAGATTTTGGAGGGTCTCTGGTTTTGGGGGTGTCCTGGGGGGTCCTGGGGGGATTTGGGGAGGTTCTGGGGGCTCTCAGTGGTTCTGGACGGTCCTGGGGGGTTTGGGGGGGTCCTGGAGGGAGATGGGGGAGTTTGGGGGGGGTTTGGGGAGGTTTTGGGGGGGGTTTGAGGGGGTTTGGGGGGGATCCTGGGGGGTCCTGAGTGTATTTGGGGATGTCCTGGGGGCTCTCAGTGGTTCTGGGAGGGTCCTGGGGGGCTTTGGGGGGGTCCTGGAGGGAGATGGGGGGGATTTGGGGAGGTTTTGGGGGAGTTTGGGGAGGTTTCGGAGGGTCTCTGGTTTTGGGGGGGTCCTGGGGGGGGGTCCTGAGGGGGTTTAGGGGATCCTGGGTGGGGATTTGGGGATCCTGGGTGGGGTCCTGGGGGTGTTTGGGGCGTCTCAGGGGTGTTGGTCTGGTTTTGAGGGGGTCTGGGGGGGTTTTGGGGGTCCTGGGGGGGTTTTGGGGGTTCTGGGGGGGTTTGGGGCTGATCTCGGTGCTCTCAGAGGGGTCTCAGTGGTTGTGGGGTTGTTTTGGGGGGGGTCTCAGGGATTTTGGGGGGATCTCTGTGGTTTTGGGGGCTCTCGGGGGGGTGTTGGTGGTTTTGGGGGTCTCAGTAATTTGGGGAGGGGTCTCAGATCTTTTTCCCCCCCCAACTTTCAGTCCAGAGCTGCCTCACTGGGGCTCCCTGGTTCTGGGTTCTTTCTCTGTTTTTTGGGATATCTCAGTGGTTTTTTTGAGGGTTTTTGGGTATTTCTCTGGTTTTGGAGGGCTCTAAGGGTGGTCTCAGTAATTTGGGGAGGGGTCTCAGACCTGTCCCCCCCCCCCCAACTTTCAGTCCAGAGCTGCTTCACCTGAGGCTCTGTGGTTCTGGGGTTTCTCTGCTGTTTTTGGGGTGGTTTCTGGGGTTTCTGTGCGGATTTTGGGGGGATTTTTGGGTTTCTCTGTGGTTTTCTGTACCTCAGCGATTTTTGGGGGTCTCAGTAATTTGGGGAGGGGTCTCAGACCTTTTTCCCCCCCCAGCTGTCAGTCAAGAACTGCTTCATCCGCGGCTCCGTGGTTCGCTGCAGGACGCGGCCCGCAAGGAGGCGCTGCAGCAGAAACAGTGACCCCAAAATCCGGGGGATTCGCCCCAAAATCCGGGGGATTCGCCCCAAAATCCGGGGGGATCTCCCCGCCAAATTGGGGGGGGGATTCACCCCGAAATATCGGGGGGATTCGCCCTGAAATACCTGCAGAGATCATTCCCACGAAACTGGGGGGATTCACCCCAAAACTGGGGGATTCGCCCTAAAATCTGGGGGTATTCGCCCTGAAATCTGGGGGGGATTCGCCCTAAAGTCTGGGGGTAATCTCCTCCCCAAAATCAGCAGAGACTCCTCCCCAAAAACCGGCGGGGATTCACCCCAAAATCTGGGGACCCCTTCCCAAAAACGAGGGGGGATTCACCCCAAAAACGGGGGGGGGATTCACCCTAAAATCTGGAGGGGGGATTTACCCAAAACCGGGGGATTGACCCCAAAATATCTTGGGGGATTCACTCCTAAAAAGGGAGGGTTTACCCCAAAACTGGGGGAGATCCTCCCCAAAATCCTTCCGGGACCCCTCCCAAATCCGGGGGTGTCCCCAGGCCCCTTTCCAGAACCCCAATAAATGCCGGGCCCTGCCCCGCTCTGTGTGCGTGTCACTCATGGGGGTTTTGGGGTAATTTTGGGGTGATTTTGGTGGTTTTTAGGGTGATTTTGGGTGGTTTGGGAGTTTTTGGGGTGGTTGGGGATTTTTACCGTGATTTTGGGATTTTTCGTTGTTGTTTGGGTGCTTTTGAGGTGATTTCGGGGTTTTTCGGGTGTTTTTGGGCTGATTCCGAGCATTTTCGGTATTTCCAAGCACCCCCCCCCCGTTTGCCTCTCGGAGTTTTTGCTCCTCCGCTCCGCTGGGGCGCCAAGCGCGGCGGGCTCGGCGCTCCCTTTGCGTCATCACCGCGGCGCCCGGAAGCACGCCCCGCACCAGCCAATGGCAGCGCGGGGTTCCGCGCACGCGCAGCACACTCCGCCCCACGTGTCTCCTCCCGCCGCTGCCGCCGCCGCCGCAGGTACCGGGGGCGTGGGGAGGGGCTGGGGGGGCACGTGACCCCCGGGACCCCCAAAAACCCTAAAATGACCCCAAAAAAACCCAAAAAAATCCCTGTACCCACAGGTCCCGGTACCGGCTCCCAGCCCCACCTGCGGCCCTCAGGGACCCCCAAAAACTCCAAACTCACCCCCCAAAAAAAAACCCCAGGAATCCTCAAACACTCCCCGGGACCTCCAAAAACTCCAAAATCACCCCAAAAAACGCCTAAGAAACCCCTGTACCCACTGGTCCCATACCAGCCCCACCTGCGGCCATCAGGGACCCCCAAACACCCCCGGTGCCCTCTGTGATCCCCATTTCCCCTCGTTAATTTTATAATTTCCCCCCATTTTCCCCCCCGTTAATTTTTTAAATTTTTCCCCCATATTCCCCCCGTTAATTCCCCAATTTTCCCCCATTTTCCCCCCGTTAATTTTTTAATTTTCCCCCCATAAATTCCGCAATTTCCCCCCGTTAATTTTTAATTCTTCCCCATATTCCCCCCATTAATTCCCCATTATTCCCCCCCGTTAATATTTATAATTTTTTAATTTTCCCCCGTATTCCCCCCATTAATTCCCAATTTCCCCCATTTTTCCCCCATTTTTTCCCCCCGTTAATTTTTTAATTTCCCCCCATATTCCCCCCATTAATTCCCCATTATTCCCCCATTTTTCCCCCCCATTAATATTCATAATTCTAATTTCTCCCACTTTCCTCTTGTCCCCTCCCGCCCGTCCCAGCGATGCCGCCCCCCCCCGTGCTGCTGCTGCCGCCCCCCCCCGGGGACGCCCCCGCCCTCGCGTCCTCATCGCCGCCCGTTTCTCCGGGGACCCCCCCCCGGCGCTGCAGCGCGTGCCCCCCGGGACCCCCGCCCCGCCCGGGACCCCCCCCCCAGCCGCTGCCGCTGCTGCGGAGCCCCGGGGGGGCCCTGCTGGGCCCGGGGGCGGCCGCGCTGCTGCTGAGCCCCCCCCGCCTGCGGGGCCGCGACCCGCGCGAGGCCGCCCTGGTGCGGCAGTGGGTGGCGTTCGCTGAGGGGGACCTGGGCACCGCGGCGGCCTTGGCCATGGGGGGGCCCAAACAGGTGAGGGGGGGTCCGGGCAGGGGTCCTAGGGGGGTTTGGGTCAGTTTGGGGGGGTTACAGTGAGATTTGGGGGGATTTGGATGGGTTTGGGGGAGTACAGGGTGCGGCAGTGGGTGGCGTTCGCTGAGGGGGACCTGGGCACCGCGGCGGCCTTGGCCATGGGGGGGCCCAAACAGGTGAGGGGGGGTCCGGGGGTACCATTGGGGGGTGTTTGGGGGGTGTTCAGTGAGATTTGGGGGGTTTGGGGTGTTTGGGAGGGGGTTTTGTGGTGTTTGAGGGGGTA